TTTAATACACGACACCAATAAGGTTTCAATACGAGACATCGATAGGCTTTAATACACGGCACGGATAGGTTTAATACACGGCACGGATAGGTTTAATACACGACACGGATAGGTTTAATACACGACACGGATAGGTTTAATACACGACACCGATAGGTCTAAATACAACGCACCGATAGGTTTAATACAGGACACGGATAGGTTTAATACACGGCACGGATAGGTTTAATACACGGCACGGATAGGTTTAATACACGGCACGGATAGGTTTAATACACGACACGGATAGGTTTAATACACGACACAGATAGGTCTAAATACACCGCACCGATAGGTTTAATACAGGACACGGATAGGTTTAATACACGGCACGGATAGGTTTAATACACGACACGGATAGGTTTAATACACGGCACGGATAGGTTTAATACACATCACCAATTAGGTTTCAATACAAGTCACCGATAGGTTTAAATACACGACACCGATAGGTTTAAATACACGACACCGATAGGTTTAAATACACGACACCGATAGGTTTAAATACACGACACCGATAGGTTTAAATACACGACACCGATAGGTTAAATACACGACACCGATAGGTTTAAATACACGACACCGATAGGTTTAATACACGACACCGATAGGTTTAATACACGACACCAATTAGATTTCAATAAACGACACCGATTAGGTTTAAATATACGACACCGATAGGTTTTAATTTTAATACACGACACCGATAGGTTTAAATACACGACACCGATAGGTTTAAATATACGACGCCGATAGCCTTTAATTCATGATACCAATAGGTTTCAATAAACGTTAATGAGGATAAAAACGGTATGCAATACATTAATCTAAACACAACCCTAATGGGCATAACACAGCTCGAGAATGTTACAAACTGAACAAATAATTCCATGGCAACATTAGTAAACCATTCCAGAACGGCGATTAACTTTCTAACACTCCGTAGCCTCCAAGTTTTAATTGAAGTTGTTTTTTTTAAGTGCTGGCAAATTTCTAGCTGAGCGCGTTTTATTAATGCAAAGTGACGCGGCGACTGTAGTAACAAGGAATCCTCACGCTAGGAAACAACTACTGCACTACCACAACCCTACACCACTGAACGACGCCACGTTTTTCACGAGTTCTACAACCTACGTCCTTGAGCTTTTAAGACTTCTATCTTCCATCTCAAGTTGTTTTTTTTTTTGTTGTTTTTTTATAAAGCCAGAAATAAAATCACACGTTCGCGACTCGTTCAATGTCAAGAAATGTGCGTCAATACACGAGGAGAGATCCGAGTAGTGCTATACACACAAAAAAGTGGGAATTGCTTATTCCAAAATGAGAATGGATAAATCGGCAAATGAGAAAAACATTGGAGCGGTAGTTAGGCCCGCGTCGTCTCCTCCCGCCCCTCCACCCTCAAGCACGTGATTACTAACTAGAAAAAGGAATTTCAATCTCCAGAATATCAGGCAAACACGTTGTTGGACCTGCCCCCCACCCCCTCCAAGACATGCGTCGATAGCTTAAGAGAAAGCATTAGGCAGCGAATGTTTCTCCATTATTTTCTATGTGCGCGGAATCCGTGGCGGGTTTGTAGGAATGCTTTGAGCGGGGAGCCAGGCGCAGTTGTTAGCTAGCCGGTTTGCTTACTGGACATGTAAATAAGACAACGGCCTTGTTGATAGTTTAAACCAAAAAAAAAAGATGATAATAAACGATTCGTCTTTTGTAAACTGAGACAAACAAAAAAAAAGCTTCAGAAAGAAAGAAATTAAAACTGTTAACTCTTTGATATGGGGACAGAGGGACAAGAACATATCATTCACAGAATTTTTTTTATCTCGTGTTCATATTCGGATAGGCTAATAATAATTGAGTTAAAAAACGAAAGCAGTGTTTCCAGGCATGAACGTGCCCAGGCATAGCCCCGCAACCTGTGTGAGCGGTGTAAGGAGGCGAGGACGGAACCGTTACCTGAGCATTAATTAACGAGTGAGAGAATCCAGAAAAAGATGCCATTAGTGAGGACTCAGACTTAACGACGCCCAGCATTGTAAAATGTGTACCCGACAACTACTTTGATATCATCTGTGAGCAATTATGCTGGGCTGACACCGTGTATTACATGGAGGGGTTCTAAGTAAAGCACAGTGTACCAGATGAACTACTGAGTGCTGGACGATTGTACGTGTATTATGTATTGCTCAACAACATGTGCCAATGGTTCCAGTAAAATTAGTAAAGACAGTTTACAAGTCTTGGGGTGGTATAACAGCAATGGAACTAAGGTAACGGTCTTAGTGGAACAAGGTAACAAGCACCTGCTACTCATACAAGAACGTGATTTACAAACTGAGAAAGAGATACACCAAACGTAACGTTGTCGTGTAAAGGAGAATTCCAAGTTTAAGACAATCAGTTAAGGGTTTTTCCCATAAACACCATAGAAACAAAGCAGGTAAGTACAGTAGGAGATAAAAAAAATATGCTTTTCTGTTGTAAAACACATAGGAATACTAAAAAAAAAACGCTTATAGCTGGAACTTAAGTAGAAAAAAAAAAGAAACAAATAAAATAAAAGATTGAAGTTGAAGTGGTAAAGCATGGAAATGGAAGGCTTGAAACAAACATTTCAACTCAACCAACCTACAAAAACTATCAAACCAAGTATTGCCTTTATGGTTTCAGCGACGCCATATAAATACAGCTGCCGGGTATCATTACAGAAAAGAAAAGAAAAAAACCGTTTACAGAAAAACAATACGGTTGGCAACAGTCGATCATCCCGTAATGAAAGGATCGTTCTTGGCTGTCAACAATAAATGATACCAGGTTAACTGGGGTGTCAGTGATGCTAGCACTCGGATACAGCGGCTGAATGGGAATAGCAATCATCAGCACGTTACGCGAGGGTTGAAAGGTTGAACAATTACATTGGACGTAGCTCTCTCCGCACAGTTCCATTTACAGGTTTCACGCCTATTGATTTAAAGCGTTCAATAGAATATATTCGTTAAGCATATTTCCATATAACAGACTGCTCAGGCTATTACTTAGTGAGAGAAGCAATATTAATACAGTAATATAAAATACTGCACTGAGCAGGCGGTACTAGACTTATAAAAAAAAGTTGACACTAGCCTACATGTGTTATTGGGTTCAGTACTGTGTACTATCTAGGTGTGTAAATAACACGAGAGTTGACTTAGTGCAACAGGCTTGGACCAAATAGGCACATGATACAATACATGGCTGCTTTGTTGGACATAGACCGAACAAGCACATAATACAATATTTGGCTACTATGCTGAACATAGACCAAATAAGCTCATGACAGAATATTTAGCTACATTGTTGGACATAGACCAAATAAGAACATATTACAGTATTCTTCTATGTTGGGAACAACAGTGTTAAAATGATTACACAATAAATCCATCTTGAGAAACGCAATCTCTTATGTAGCCCCCCACTAAATCAATCTCCTACAACCTTATCTTGTGTAGACACATAATAAACCAACCTACACTATTCCCCCGCTACAAACTTCATACACACGAGCGCTAGGTTCCAGCCCGACATTTTCCCCCCATTAACTTTCCCATCGTATTTGCTCCTACAGAACAGACGCGCATTCAGGAATAGTTGGAGGACACGTAAAAAAAAACCTGCCACTAGTATAAAAAAAAACTGCCACTAGTAGGAGTATCTGGGACAGGCGGTCCTCGACACCTGTTTCTTAGAGGGGGGGAAAAAAAGCTGTAAACACTAACGCTGAGTGGCGGAGGTGATGCTAAAAACTTAGGATCTATTCATGAGGAATAACTTTGATACAGTATTCCAAGTATATTTCCTGGGGATTTTTTTTTAGTTATAATGGAAATGCACACAACTTGTATAACGTAAACACTGAAGGTCACTCTTGAACTTATATACTAGGAAAAGATGTTAATGTTATCATTAACTAGGAATAACTTGTAGACTAGTTTCTAGGCGCTTGAAACTACTTAATTGGTAAACTTAAACAAAAATTACTGCCTTTTTATGTAAAGGCCAAAAAATATAAAAGTATATGTTTGAGAGAGAAAAAAATGTAATAAGGTTTTCGTATTTTGTAAAAGGAATACCATTCTGTTGTAAATTGTATTCAGGGAGGTTTGGAAACTAAGCAAGAGAAGAGAGGTAACCGAGATTTTATAAATGCGTAGCCCAAAACAGTTACCTCCCATAGCTAATATTTTATGGCAAGTCTCAATGGTACCTACGTGTAGTCTGTGTATGAAACATGAATTTAAATTTGAAAAAAAATCTAAACACAAATTGAGACTAAAGTAAAAAAATATACAATTGGTTGTTTTTATCAATAGTTTTCTCAGTAAGTATAATATTCTAATATAACACATGATAAAATAAAGTATAAACTGAAGTTTAAAACCTGCGTAGGCCACAACATTACTAATTAAACTAATATTTGGCATGACAACTAAAGATTTTAGAGCTACACAATTGTTTGTTCCTTTTTTTAAAGCTAGAAAAAATGGAATAAAAATTAGATCTTCATGGCAGATTTATATTATCTCTGTTAAATGTAAATTGATGTTATATTGGAAAAAAAAATATCAACTATCACATAAGATTATCGGTCATGTGAATCTGCTAGTAGACTAGGTAAATCAGTGGTGTTGAACGCGATTTACTGGCTGCAAACTCTAGATTTGACTTTTTTAAAAGTTTAATTTTTTTTTTGTATGGGTAATATTTTAAATTATTATTGTTAATTTATAAATGTGCAAGAACATATTTTATACTTAAAAATCCAGGCTGCAAGTTATGTGTAATTATCTTTAAATGAATTCATTCAAATAGGATAAAATAGAAGTAACTACATTTAATATTTCATATCAAACAGATCTTAACATGCCTGTAAATGAATGAGATAATGTTTTAAATGTGAGTGAATAAAGAAAGAAACCTGCCTGGCACATGGAGGTACACGGTCCGACACTTGCCCTCAGAGCACTTGTCACACGAGGACGTGCCCACCGCGTCGTACTCGGGCACCTCCTTCAGCGTCTCCTCCTCCCCCGCGGGCACAGTGTTGTGGGAAGATGACGACGACAGCGACGAGGAAGGCGAGAGCATCATGGGCGAGTGGGCCGGCTTGGAGCTGGTCTTAACGAGGAGCGGCGCCGTGACGGCATGACTCGACGACCTGGACGACTGGGAAGACAGCGACGACGACGTGGAGCTGACCGATGACCGAAAGTTCTGACCGTTGGCTCTCTGAAACGCCGAGATGGTCTCCACGCTGGCTGCGGTTTGAAACGAGGTGACGGCGTCGACAGAGTCGTTGAGCACGGAGGCCAGAGAGCTGGAGCCAGTGGAGTCTGATGAGATGTTGGAGCCCACAGAACAGTGGTGGATCTCGTGAGCACTCATCAAAGTCTCGGTCTGTGATCTCGGCACGGTTTGCTTACGTTTTGACGCCACAAAGGAGTTTGGGAATTTGGTTTCAATCTCCACGGTAACAGTCTGAGCTAGTACAGGTTCACGCTGTGGTGTGTTTGTAGGCGGGTGTCTGATCCCGTGCTCATCCGTCGCCAGCTCCTCCTGGACCGTCTGCATGTTGCAGTTGGCGTCTGTTAATACCACGTCCACGTCATCTTTAAAATTAACCGTCTTTGCCTTTCTCATGGCATTTTTGGGCAAAGGTACGGGCGGTTTCTTGGGTCTCTTTCCAACGCTGTCGTTGGTTAATGAGGCCAACGAACTGTAAGAAGTCACATTGTCATAACTCGAGCTGTTTGATGGCGGGCCCACGCCTTCAATACCAGACGAGGTGGAAGCGCCAACACCACTGTCGCGTGTACGAGCCGGAAGTGACCCCAGCCCCGGGGTTTGATTGGCCAAAGATAAGTCCCCATCAGAGCTGGAGCCTTTGATAGTGGGGCTTGTATTGCAGTCAACCAGCACCATTGTGGTCACCAACACAACCAGTCCTTTCACAAATTTATTTCCTTCCCATTCATCAAATGTTGCATAACATTGTTTATTTTCTGAGATATTTTATCAGCGCCGGCCACTGATTCCTACACAGCAACATCCTTGTTCCAACAGGTCTTCTCTACATCCAAGAGGAAACGTTTCTTCTTTATATTCCAGTATGACGGCGGCTCGTTTTATCTGATGTAGGCCTATGCCTCACATTCACGGGAAAATGTTTTACCTGTACCTTATATTCCTCAAGTGTAAATAAAAGATTCTCTATGTTCACTTTTAGAAAAACATCCTAAGTATACTTGAACAGGAAAAAAAATTCAAGCTATTACAAAAAGAACAGCACTACCAATGTGATTACACACACAAAAATGGAGATGGGAAAGAAATCAGTCAACATCCAACTATCTCTATACAACACCAGAATTAACTTTGTACCACACATGTGGATAAAAAGCCCACATAGCAACGTATCAATCACGGCTTATATCCTGAGTCCACAGCTTGTTTTGTTGATAACAAATAACTCGTGAAACACAACACAATCAGACCTAGCCAGCTGGCAATACTAACACATGCGAACACAGACCTCGTCAGTGGAGAAAGACTAACCTAGTAAACCACACACCACAAAAAAAGGTCACACAACTCCTCTACCCTAAAACTACAACATGTTACTGGTTTAAAATGCGAACTGGCCGTAACAGTCCTGGGCCGAGTTCACGTCTCCAACTAACGCCACATCGATCCGTTAGCGCAAACTGTCACTCATTCAACCCACCGACTCATTCGAAATTTCCATGAATCATAGCTAAAAATAAAACGCGCAACTTCCGATAGCGATGCATCGAACCCTCACCACTGGCTGTAACACGCTTATTGTATTGTCTCATCAAATGTTAACGTCATACAAACTGCAGACGGCATTTGACGGGACGGGGGTGGAGGAATATCTCATAGTGCCAATAGTACAAACAAATAGACACATTTCAGCTTATTACACGGTTTACAAGAAATAGCCCCAGTTTACGCATACATAGCGAATCGTTTTACATCCCAATACATTCGTATTTTAATAGTATATTAATATTATATTCTTACTTTAAAGCACGCAATAAATACTACGACAACTGTATGACTCCCACCACCACCCACCCCCCACCCCCCACCGCAACTATTATTGATGATGACAGACCATTAGTACCCACGCCTATTTGACGTGTTTTCTCAATCATAGGGGCGGTAACACTGGTGTCATTAGTGTGAAAAATATGTTTATTTAGTAGTGCACGTGTTTCAATTCATAACTATTTAGTCAACCCGTGTAACATTTGTTGTAGTAAGGCTTCAGTACACAGTTATGGTCCATCTAAACATGCTTTATAAAACGACCATTATTTAAAAACAACTAGACAAACGAGCCAGAAGCCTATGGTTCCACCGGTAAGATGATACATAAAACATGAACCCCAAATGTACACCTAGTTTTTTAACACAGATTTTATCTCCTGCAAATGCACGCGATATAAAATAAAAAATTAAAAAACTCAAGCGCTAATGACGGCTAACCTTATTTTTTTATAAACGAAACCGCTACTGGCCTCAACCTACCACCTCGGAAAAAAACCTCAACCTGTGCGTTAAAATTTAGCCAGTTTCTAGATAGCGGTGGTGTGCATGTCTGATAGAGGGACGGGGGGGGGGTAGAGAGATGGCATGTAATAAATTAGCAGCGACTCTACTAGTTATGACATTTTTATTTTATACGCCACATTGTATACTGAGGAGCTGACAAAAGTAGTGATATGCTAAGTCATTAAGAAACACATCTCAAAAGAGAATACGGTGTGTTAAATAAATGAACATGTATAGAAAAGTACAGATTGACATATAGGTTCAAAGGTTCTCGACAAAACTTATAGGTATGGAAAGAAAAACAACACTATAATTTGTAACAGTGGGCACTGAACTGAAATAAGGATATAGTATGTCGCGTAAAGTTGTCACTAATGCATCTTTCGATGGCTAATGGTATTTGTTTATACCGAGCGTATATCTTTAACAAAATAAATTCTAAAAGTTTCACTGACACAACTAAAAACACCGTATAATCCTTGTCTATATAAGAAGAAATGAACACATCCAACATGTAGACTAGTACAGGTGGTGATCCGGGGAGCGTATGAAGCAACAACACACACGGTAAACTGGCATCACTCGAGTTCACTCGGCTCTATTGTTATGACGAGAACGTCGCGAATGTGGGGCAGGCTGCGGGGGACGGACGGGCACATTTGGAGGAGGGAGCGTTAATTACTTTTTTTTAATGACATGACTTTTGTTAATTATGTTATTGCGGTCCATATGAAGCACGGCACTAGGAACTATATCGCCTAGCGTTAGGGTTGTCTGAATTCTAAACGTTTAGTAGCCTATGGTGAATATGTTAGTAGAGAGGTGTCTAAAAGCAATCCACAGCTCAAACCTTGCAGGTGTGTTAACTAGCAGTACTAGCAGTTTGTGTGTGGGCTTTTTTTTTTTACTTGTCAGATTAACAACAGTAAACAGTAGTAAACAAAAATCACACGTCCACACACAAGGATTCCCTCAAGTCAAAAGCTAGCCGTGAAGTTTACAACCAGATGAAAATGCGGCTCTTGTTTACAAGGTCCCCGTTCTGTTGGGAAAGGTATTTTCTAAAGAAAGATTAAACCAAAAAAAAAAAAGCAGGTATTGAACATTTTTAAACTCGTCTTGTTGCTACCACTTCAGTGCATCTAGGAGAGGGGGGGGGCGTGGAATTTGTAGCGCGCGCCAGGTAAAAGTGAGCAATAAAAATCGGAGGAGTCTTCTACACCTTCGTGTGCGTCAATACGTCCAGATATTACCTCTGTAATTTGGCTCTTGCTTAATGATAATTGCAGGTCAATTTTTTTTATATTCTCATTATTTGTAATAGGCACAAGGTAAATTATATGCTTGAACTTAAAATAGGCCAATTACATTCATATCTTTTTTTTTTAATTTAGCTTTATATTTACAAAACATGAAATTTATTTTAATAGCTATCAAAATTAAATTTCCAGGTTAGCATTTACCACATGTTCCCATAAAAAATTGTCTGCTTACATTAAAAGTGGAGTTTATGTCATGTATGATCGCGTGTTTGTTGACGTCCTTGTCTACACACAGTGAGCTTTAATGGGAAACATTCTCTCACTGAGGTGTTTAGCACAAAAACTAAAGGCAGGTAGAGAGCTAGTCAAGTAGCTAAGCAACTGCTCGGGTAGTTGAAAAGCGAAAAAGGGAAACAACTAAAAACTGATTATTTTTTTAAACCTCTCCAACATGTAAACATTTCGACTTGCAAGCTTAAAATAAAGGCAGGTTTTTTTTTCTCTCCCTTTTAAGCTGAACTATTGGACGAAATGACAGAAATCACGTCAAGCGATTGAACCTGTTTTAATTGAAGATATCAAGGGGTTGGAGGGGCTGGGGTTAAAGTCACTGGGGTTGTAGGGGCTGGGGTTGGAGAGGCTGGGGGGGGGGCTGGGGTTGGAGGGGCGGGGTTGGATGGAGATGGGGTGGGGCTGGGGTAAGAGGGGCTGGGGTAAGAGGGGCTGGGGTAAGAGGGGCTGGGGTTGGAGGGGTTGGAGTCGCTGGGGTTGGATGGGGCTGGGGTAAGAGGGGCTGGGTTGGAGGGGCGGGGTTGGAGGGGCTGGTGAGGTGCGGCAGAAAATTAATTATACTGCATGTGAGAGGGAGAGCATGGCGCATTGTCAGGGGACAGGCGTGTGTAACGAGGCTCAGCGAAATGAGAAGCGAATACGCATGCTAATTCGTCTGTGATAATTAAACTTATGGTAATTAAAACGATCTCATCTCACGCATATATTAGGCTGAGCTCTAAGCACAACTAACGGCTAATGCAGGACATAATAAATATGTAACGATAAAAGATTTTTTTTAATTACACTTTTATTCCCATGACCATAGGGGATGTGCCCCCCTCCCCCAACTTTAATAAAGCCGTGGTGATGGTGTAACTTACTGGCGTGGCCCGGGGGTATAGCGGATAACATTGGACATGAATATGTTAGAGAGCACTCATAATTACTACAGCCCTGGTCTCCACTGATCCAATACACGGGGGACACTGCTGTCTACCACAGTAATAAAAAAAATATTCATTTAACAATGAACATCTCTCAACACGAGTGCAGCCAATATTATTTTTAAGTGGATGTCAATCTGTTAATTATGACGGATTATAAATTACGCGATTGAAAACTCGAAGGCTCGCATAATTACACTGTTTATTTCCTAAATTAGAATTGCCGAGTTCACTTTGAATTGTGTTAATTTAGACATGTTATCGCGATATTAATAAGTAATGTATAGTTTCTGGGACCCACTACCCTTGACCTCTCCAGCTAGAGTTCAAGGCGATAAATTACATCCTTTGTTTCTATTACTTTAAAATGTGTGAGACGACGTATATATCAGCCCGAGTATAAAACAGCCAGCCGCCCACCGACACCCAAACCCCATCTGAACCATCTCACCAAACAGCGGGACGTATACATGACCGTGTCATATTCTCTTCAAAGCCAAAATGGCCCGTCGGCCTCCCTTTATAATCAAGTGGAAAATCGATTTCTATCTGATGTTATCGTACTAATGTAGTTGTAGATTCCAAATAGCTGGAGGGGGATGGGCGCTAATAATGAGGACGTGTCTCATATTCCAGTTAAATAGAAATGTGTGATGTCTGTCGATCATATTTAGAGCTCAACGTATTTGACATTTTAGAATAATGAGATGCTAATTGATACTTTCGAACTGTTTTAAATAGGCTGGCGATTTGTTTTTTTGTTGTTGTTTTTTTTTTTTTTAAGTATTCAAAATTGAAAATTGAATTTGTATTTTAAAAACATACATAGTATTGAATTTACTTTAACATTGTCGAAATTCATATTTTTAAAAAGAAATTAATGAACGTCTAATTTATTTAAAAGTATTTTTAGAAGAGCATATGAATGTATTGTTTTCCCTATTGTTCGAATCTTTGTCACAATGTGACTCTGTGCTTTGTGAGGACCCCCTTAATGACTTCCCAGGCTGAGAAAGCACACACACAGCCCAAAGTTATAACGTTGTCAATGAGCCATGGAGGCTAAATGTCATGCACACCCAGAAGATGCAATTAATCTAGCACGCACACCAAGATGCTTTCCGTGTCTGGTGCAATACTTATGATTTCATAGCTATTTTTTTTTCAAATTGAACTTGGTTGATATGTGTGTAACAGAAATAGATCTATAACCTATGTAAAACGGGCATGTATGCAACTGAGATAAAACCTAACTCTGAAACTCATAAAAACTAACTCTAAAAATGAGATAAAGCCTAACTCTGAAAAACGTCAAATTAACTCTAAAACTGAGATAAAGCCTAACTCATGTCTAAAACAGATAAATCCTAACTCATGTCTGAAACAGATAAACCCTAACTCATGTCTGAAACAGAGATAAACCCTAGCTCATGTCTGTAACAGGGATAAGACCTAACTCTGAAACAGATAAAAATCTAACTCAGAGATAAAAAGCTAACATGTCGGCAGCAACCTAACCTCAGAATAACGCCACAAGAGCATAGTTTGTTGTATTGTGACCCAGGCACCCGGTCACGAGATTAAATAAAATGGTGTGAGCCCCACACAATGCACGTGCACAGCATGCTTAGTCATTACCATAGAAAAACAAACGCTCCCTGTTATCAATGAGGGTAAAACGCGTTGGTCCCAGGCGGCTGGTTTAAAAAGCCCAACCTAATCCCACAGGAGCCACACAGGTCTCTACTGTGGGCCCTACGGTCGGAAAGTGAAAGTAGCCTCTCGAACCCGGCTGTAAACAAAAATCGATACGATGAAGGGTTTTTTTTTCAGCAGATGAAGTAGAGTTCGTTTACGTGGCAAGCGCATACAAATGAACTGTGGTCAGCACAATGTCCGGCCACCGTTCTGTAATTTCCCTCGATTGATGTGAGATAAGCTGATTAAGACGTGGGAGCTAAAGGGCTAGAGGAACACGACTTGTACTAGGGACTTCTGCCACAGGGATCGTGTACTCAACACAGCTAAGTGATTAGAATTTGTGTTCAATAAAGAAAACTACCCAACATAAAAAGACCAGACAAATAACTATGTTGAAATATTACATAATATTACACAGAACAAAATCTCAACAAAAATCGAAACAATGTCTATTACTATATTCTTATTATGTTGCTTAGATGTATTGCTCAGGGATGTGACCAGACCAGGAAAAAAAATTAGGAAATTTTCTTCGGATAATAACTCAATATGTTTTATCTACTTTTTATCGCGGTTAAGCAGCTTCATACTGTTACTGTACTAATTAATTGTTTAATGAAGTTAATATTTTAAATACAAGAAGTTTATGTTAGTCTAAAATAACATTGAAAGTCTTGTCTAATTGCAATCTAATGTTTACCTTATAAACAACTTTTAAAAAATTACAATGTAACAAAAGTAGCAATTAAGTTTTATTTTAAAGTTTTAATTTAAACTGTACTAATCTAGTGTAGATTCTAGATGTACTCCTGTTTTCAATTTTTAAATAGGGGGCCTAATGCCTAATATATATTCTTTTAAAGATTGGATTGGTAAAAATATTTGTCTTCAACTGTAAAGACCCTAGATTAAGATTAGTTACAATTTGAAAGTTTGAGGTTCATGTGATGGAAAAATGAAATGGACCAGGTTAGCTAAAATTAGATAGGGTCTGGCGTGTGAACCAAAGTTAATCATAATGATAACCAAGCCACATCGATATTTGTTTTTTTGGAATAGCTGTAAATTGTTAGAGGTCATCCACGTTTTTTTGACGATATTTACCTCCCCTCTCTCCTACAAAAGCCAGACTCCCCCCACAGTCTGAACGTATTTTTTCTTCCACAAACAAGACACGGTCGTAGTCACGTTGAGTTTAGTAATTTTTTTTTTATCTGTAGGCCTACGCAGCATACGTATTGCAGGAACAGCTATTTGAAATTGACTGTGACGTCATTTTTTTTCCACAAGCAGTACCGAAAACGTACTTGGGGTCAAGGTGAGGTCACAAGAGTCACCGTTGCTACGAGGTGGGGCGGGTTGGTCTAGTCCTCATAGTC